AGGGATCTTCAGCTTTCCGATGGGAATGTTAAGAATTTGTTCTTCCTGCTTTGTTTCCTAATTGTAGAATATTCAGTGTGGTATTTGCTCCCGTCTGTACCTTCTTCCACAAAAACGGCAAATTATTTTTATTTATTTATTTTTAAGATTTATTTTTATTGAAAGGCGGATATACAGAGAGGAGAGACAGAGAGGAAGATCTTCCGTCCGATGAGTCACTCCCCAAGTGAGCGCAACGGTCGATGCTATGCCGATCCGAAGCCAGGAGCCTCTTCCAGGTCTCCCACATGGGCACAAGGTCCCAAAGCTTTGGGCTGTCTTAGGCTGCTCTCCCGGGCCACAGGCAGGGGGCTGGATGGGAGGCGGGGCTGCCAGGATTAGAACCGGCACCCATATGGGATCCCGGGCCTGCAAGGCGAGGACCTTAACCACTGCGCCACCACACCGGGCCCTGAAAATTATTTTTAGAAAGAACATTTTAATAAAACTTATCTTTCTGGTTTATCTGTAAGTAGTATCAATATAGTCTAAAACTTCGAGTTAAGATTATAAGAGTTTGAGCCATATTAATCAACAGTGTTCAATAGTTGGAAAATATCAAGTGATTAATATTATACAGTTCAACTCTCCACCCCCATAATATTGAACTAAACTCTTACTAAAACTGTGTTTCAATCTTGGTGTGAATGAGAGAATTTGGCAACAGATTGTCATAAGACTGTTAACCCTTGATTTTCATACAACTTCACACAAAACACAATTTCAAAAATAGTTACATCATTTATGAGTTATTTTCTATGGTCTTTTTTGTTTTTTAAGATTTGTTTATTTTTTATTGGAAAGGCAGATATACAGAGAGGAGGAGAGACAGAGAGGAAGATATTCCGTCCGATGGTTCACTCCCCAAGTGAGCGCAACGGCTGATGTTATGCCGATCCGAAGCCAGGAACCTCTTCCGGGTCTCCCACGTGGGTGCAGGGTCCCAAAGCTTTGGGTTGTCCTCAACTGCTTTCCCAGGCCACAGGCAGGGAGCTGGAAGGGAAGCGGGGCCACCGGGATTAAAACCAGCACCCATATGGGATCCTGGTGCGTTCAAGGTGAGGACTTTAACCACTATGCTATTGCACCGGGCCCATCTTCTATGGTCTTAATGTCATGTACTGGAGGAGCAATTGGGCATTATTTCTCATCAGTATTTTTTGTAGTTCTAATGTCAGCTTGAGTTTAGACATCAGCAGATTTCTATATTTGAACTATTTTAGATACCCAGTTATGTTAACAAATCTGGCATTTCTTTAAATATTCAAAATTATTCTTACAGTAGAACGACTGTGCAGCTCCCTTCTTCCTCCAAAACCTGGCAGGAAGTGCTCTTGGTTTGATCTTACTTTGTTGCTGAAATAGAAAAGATAAAATAGTATTTCACTGCACATTTTTTTGTGGTTATCTCTGAAGGCATGCTTCAGCATTTAGGATTTTAGTATTCCTTCTTGAAGGTCAAGAGGAGAACAGACGATGCATAATCTGGTGTAATCCTGTTGAAATAGTTGAAATGATGCACCACATCATGGTTGAAATAGACTGTGGTTTTTTAAGTAAATAGGTTACCCTTTTTTTTTAAATCTTGTTAATTCAGAAAGAATAGATTGAAAGAAGCCTCATGTTTTTAAATATTTCCAATTTCAGCCCTTACCCACACTGTGGTTTTTCCTTACCTTCCATTGAAGTGTGTTTGTGTTAAGAATGAAGTGCATTGTTTCCTCTTCAGTTGGATGGTTTATATGCAACATTTGCTAAAACTGATGAAAATAGAATTTGCTCAGTTAAGAATACTTTAGATAAGTGGCAGACTTTTCACTTAGGTCACATAACAAATGGCCGCCATGACTGGCACTGCAACAGGCTGAAGCCAAGAGCAGTGATCTCCCTTTGGTCACCCATGGACCCATGGAAGAGCTGTCTTCATCTGCTTTCCCGGGCTCATTAACCCGAGCTGGGTTGAAAGTGGAGTCCTGGAACTCATGCTGGCGCTCATGTAGGATGCTGGTGTCACAGCCAGTGGCTTGAGTTGCTATACCACAACACCCGCCACGTTTTTAGCCTTTAACAAGAAGTCATAATGTGCTTGTTTATACTGTTCAAACTGATTGCGAAGAGATAGTTTTTGTTGTTGTTTGTTTGTTTTAATATTTTTAATTCAGGAATTTTTATTTAGGATAGTGAAAGCCAGATGCTGCTTGTTTGGACTGTTAATCCAACTGGTATGAAACTTGTATTTTTCTTACATACCTTTGTATTTTTGTGTCTTTTAAAAAAACCAATGAAAGCCCCCTCTAGTGTTGAAATAGACCTTCTTGAGATACTGTATAGATCATAGAAAGTTTTGAGAATTAAACCAGCAGTGTCTTTCCTGTCATATCTGGGCATGAGTTTTTGTTTGCTTTTCCTTTGTGGCGAGAGGGAATAGTTTCTCTTTTTTAAAAAATACTGCCAGAATTATGAGTTAAAGCATGGATTGGGGGCCACGGACAACCTGAGGAAAAAACTCTCAAAATGCCAGTTCTACCTCTTTAAAAGTAGTTATTTTTTGAATGACCTGGAATAAAGCCCAACTGCAGCGTAGAGGTGTTCTGGTGTCATTTATATTTGTTTTTGAATTGAGTGAAACTTGAAAACACTTTGCTTTGGAATTGTTTGTGCCATCAGATCTCTTGAAAGTTCTCTCCAGTTTTTGAAGGTGACAATTTTGTTGGAAAATAGTTTTAAAATAGACTGATTCATATCATAGAAGTAGTTTCTTTTTGTTTTTGTTATGAGTGCCATTATCCTACTGTAGATACACTTTGTGACTGTATTTTATGTTCTGATGTATTCTTCCCCCCCTCTTTTTTTTTTTTTAGCCAAGTCAGTGAGGAGATTCTAAAATTGCTGGGGGTTTTTTTTCCCCATTTTTTCCTCTAAACATGAGCCTGCAACCCAGAGTCCTGTGAAGGGTTACAGAACAGAACTTTCCTTACTTAATCCAGGGGCCTTTGTAACTTGAGTAAGGAAAATGGTGTTCTGAAAGCTCTAGCGTTTATGAATGCACTGGTAAAAATATTTCAGGTAGAGGAATTGGAGATTAACTCCTTTCATCTTGGCTCTGCAGCAGATTAAACAATATGAAGAGATTTCAGCTGCATTGTTGGGAATCAAATGCTCAGCTGAGTTATAATCCTAATTGCTGTTGTTCATTTTCAGAGCTACATTTTGACAGTTCTAACTGCCTACACCACACATTGTTCAGCCACCAGGATAAACAAATAGATCCTGAAATCCATCATTCTGTGCATCCTAAATTGCTCATCACTTACTGGCCTTCTTGATTTCATTGTTGGTAAAATTAGAGGGGAAATTATTCTGCATTTTACATAGAACTGTTAACAGAATCATTACTGGATTTTGTTTAAAAAATTCATTAAGAATCTTACATTTTGGAAGGGCAGTAAAGATTATGAAAATTTGTTTCCTGAGAAGTAATTTGTATTTGTATTTTGTAAAACTATTTTGTAGGCAGCTTTTTTCAAGATCTGAAAGAATGTTAAGATTTCACACTTCTTTCTTAGTAGAATGGTATTCTGAATATAAATCTGAAAACCAGATTTGTTCATTGAATTTGTAAGTCACATGATAATTTTTTTAAAAGCTTGACACAAACACGTTACTCGTCCTAAGAACTAAAGAAATTGAAAGTGTGCAGTGACTCTAAAATTTGTATGTCATTATAATTTAGAGATTTGAGTGTTAATTTTGATCAGAATTTTTGTATTTAAAAAAAGGAACTTTTGTATTTAAAAAAAGGAACATACGTACTGGTGGATGCATCTCCCAAGTCATTCTGCCTCAGCCCCATCTTTCATACGAACTGACAGAAGCTGTGGCCTAACCTAGCACAGCACATCAGCAGGTTTCATGGCCTACTCAGGGTGGCTCCCAGTAACCCCCACCAGACCTACTCCCAGCCCTGGTTTTTGCATGTGCCAGCATGTACTGTGGCCTAACCCAGCCTGTCTTACATCCCATCTGTCTCTGTGTACACCCATGGGTTCTATGGCTTAGCTCAGTCAGACCTTCCTCCATACCTAACCTAAAGATGCCAGCAGGTGCTGCTGCCTTGAACAGCGTGGCTGGGCACCAGCATTGGCTTTCATGCACACCAGTGGGAGCTGCAGCCCAGCAGGAGAGAGTGTAGGTGCTATCCTCTAAGGTAGTATTTATTCCCAGTTTATAGGAAGAAGAGATTAAGATACTGAAATAATTTTTCCAAAGATCAGAAAGTAATTAAAGTTAGATCTTTCTACTCCTGGAGCTCATGTTCTTGAACGTTGCTGAAGTCGTCAGGAAAAGTTAAATGTATTATGTAATTTTGTGATGGACTATTGTGTAACCACACATTGCAAGTTTCAGTGGCTGTATAATGACATGTAAAATGTGCATGATATAGAAGTGGAAAGAGACCGAGGGATTATAATTAAATGTGTGTAGAGTCCTAAACATCTGTAGAGTGTTATCTTTAAGGGTTTTTTTTGTTTGTTTTTTACGTGATATAAATATGTTCAGATGTTAAGAAATTCTGCATGTTAAGCAAAATTACTTAAGCAGGGTACCTAACCCGGCATGTAAACCAGTCCTGGTCAGGAAGCTGACAACTTAGTTTTATGATAGACTCTACCATGCTCAGTTTCCTTTTTAATTTGACCCAAAGCTATTTTTTACTGGACTAATGCCAGATCTAATGCAGTCTCTCATCTGTATTCTTGGAGGCTAATGGGATAGTGAAATCTTCTTAGAGATAACTTAGATATGTTACCTGGTGTCCTTGGGGTGCTTGTGGACCAGAGATGTTTTCACTCCACCCTGTAGAAGTAGCTCATTAGGACACCCAGTGGTGTCATTATTAAGTTTTCATGTGTTTCTCAGTTTTGATGCTAATCCTTGTGTATATATTTTTTTCTCTGTAGCACCAATGTGGTTATGAATTATTCAGAGATCGAGTCTAAGGTTCGAGAAGCAACAAACGATGATCCTTGGGGGCCTTCTGGGCAGCTCATGGGAGAGATTGCCAAGTAAGTGATAATTTGACTCAGCAGTGCGGAAAGAATCAAAGTATCTTTTCACAGAAACGTGAATTTGCTTTCAGTTTTAAACTCTTCAGCTGCCAGGTAGAAATCTTGCATAATCATTCAAATAATGTAGAAAGTTTTATGCAAGATCCATTCCCCTCTAAGTATTAGCTTTAAACAAACAAGTGAACTGTCAGTTTTCCATTTTCAAGGTTAGTGACTTACTTTAACTTCCTATCTAAAATTTTGATGAATGCATTTAAGGTGTTTTAAAGTAAAATTATAAAAGTTTTCACAAGGAAGATATAGGACCCTGTTGAAATGAAGAGTTCCCACAGTATGATGTTAGTGAGGCTTACAAATATGCCAGATACAGTATAAAATAATATAGGGTGAACATTTTCAAGAACATTTATTTAAATTTTTTGTGTTAAACTTATTTTAAAGTGCTTTGAAGATAATCCAGTAAGTTAGAACAAGCCTGCCATCTACTGTCAGAATTAATATATTGCAAGCTTAAGGGAATAACCTTTTTTTCAGGGCAACATTTATGTATGAACAGTTTCCAGAACTTATGAACATGCTTTGGTCACGAATGTTAAAAGACAACAAAAAGAATTGGAGAAGAGTTTATAAGGTATGAATGTAAGCTTATTTGAACAAGTTGATCTGTTGAAAATAAATGCTTGAAACTTAAGACATACAAAAGATCCTAAAGCACATTAAAAGCTTGCAATACAGTATTTTGAAATAGAAGAGGTAGATTTATAATTTGCTTTATTAGTTGTGGTAAATAGCCTAAAATGTTAAGGTAATCTGACTCGTATTTGTAAATTTGACTTCTTACTTTAATCTGTTAATTTTTTCCTACCAAAAATTATGCTACTAAAATAATGAATTAAGATGAAGACCGTGGTTTAATTTGATTTATGTCTACAGAAAACTTTGACTGTTAACAGTATTATTACAAAATTCTGTACCTCAAAATGTATTAGTTCAGAAATTTCAAAACATACTAGATTGAAATGTATTATTTTTAATTTGTGAGTGTGTACTCTTTATCAAATTCTTTGCATTTGGTCCCAATCTCATGTAATACAGAATTCTAAAAGAGCAGCCATTTTTCTTCTAGCCCACCATTATTTTTTGCTGCTCAGATAAGTTTTTCTGTGTTTTCTAAAATGACATGTAACATTCTTGTTTGAAATTTTCAAAGTAACATTTCTAGCCTTCAGAATTGAAAATCTATGCTTTTATGTTGTTTGTTTATTGAAAATCCTCAGTTCACACTGTGTGCTTGTGTAGTAGATGCAGTGAACTAGTTGGAAGTTTGTTTCTTGAGTAAATGACTTTAAAACGGTAACTGGTATAATGAAATTTTGTACCATTAATTTTGTAAACCAACCTGGATCGTCTCATATTCAAGTGAGCATTTTCCAAGCAAAGTTCAGTTCATCTGTAAGTGCAATGTAGTAGTTCTCAGTGTATTCACAAGGTCGTACAAGAGTCATTGCTGTCTAATTCTAAGTCATTTTCATTACTCCCAAAGGAAACCCTGTACCTATTAGCGGTCATTCTAAATTCATGTTGCAGTAAAATTTTCTGAAGTGTTAGTTTTCTTTACCTTGTTGGCAGCAGCTGTTGAAACAAAAGCCTCATTAACATCGGAATTATATTTTATCTGGAGAAAACACTATGGGATTACCAAATCATTCTAAGTTTCCATAGCTATGTAATACCCAGTAAAAAATAAAAACTGCTTTCTAATGCTTTATTTATTAGTATAACATGTTCATATTTTTCATTATCAATTTTTAAAAACTTTTTTGATACATATTTAAAGTCTGATGTAAAGAAAAATTATTTATTTTCTAATTCTAGAATTTTCTTTTTATCCGTTTTCCAAAACTACCAGGATTTATTTTGTTAAACCAGTTGTTGCTTTGTATTTTTACAGTCATTGCTACTCCTAGCTTACCTCATAAGGAATGGATCAGAGCGTGTTGTTACAAGTGCCAGAGAACACATTTATGATTTGCGATCCCTGGAAAATTACCACTTTGTAGGTGAGCATTAGAAAAACCTTATAAGCAAATTAAAACAGTAGTTGGAGTTGTCAGTCACCTGAACCAGCTTAGAAGCTTCTCTGCTCTAATTAGAATGTGACTGTTGCTGGTTGTGTGACGAGTGCAGAATCCAAGACGTGGGGCCCTAGAGTATTAATTAGTGAAGACAAGAACTTGCAGAAAAGACTGGCTAATAACAACAGAACCAACACAACATGAATGTTCGGGTTTATATTAAAATATGCACTGGAGGCTGGTCCCCTGTGGTGTCCATAAAGGAATAGCTTTAATCATATGGGAAGAAAAGGTTAGAGCTCCAAAACACACACATCTGTTTGAAGCTGAGTTTTTTTCCCTCCCACCAAATAATATTTACTGTGCAAAGGCAGCAAGGCCAGAGTGTGTTTTGAATGTGAAAGAGGCTGGAGAATGAAGCACATTTCATTTTGTAGTATAGTTGCTTTAATGTCCTTTAAAAATTCAGTGTTCTAGCTACACTAAGTCCTAGTAATTAGTGTTCCCAAATTTCTATTGAGGAATCCAAGCTGTTTGGGTGCTTTGCAGTTACTAAACTTGTTCTTCTTTTTTTTTTTTTCCTCCTGATAAAATAAAATAGAAAAATAAATACTAGTAAATAAATATGTGCATTTTGTTTAGTCATCAGTAATTCTTTTTGGTGGATCATTAATTGACCTTGCATGGTACCATTATCTGTAGTCCTTAAGCCAGAAATGTATTTCAAAACTTGAAATTTACTGAAAAGGATATGGCAAAGTCCAATAGCATAATCTACCTCTTTTCATTATTTTTCTGAATGTTGAAGTTCATTTCATACTGAGATTTTTGTTTTTATTGTACTAAAGTTTTGTTTCTCCCCAACCATTCTCTCAGATGAACATGGTAAGGATCAAGGTATAAATATTCGCCAGAAGGTAAAGGAGTTGGTTGAATTTGCCCAGGATGATGACAGACTTCGTGAAGAGCGAAAGAAGGCAAAGAAGAACAAGGACAAGTATGTTGGTGTTTCCTCTGACAGTGTTGGAGGTTTCAGATACAGTGAGTATCGAAGACAAGCTGGCACCTAAACATCAACTTAATTTCTTGGGAATTTTTTCAGAATTATTGACGCTCATGCTTCTCTGCTCTTTGTTTTCAGGAATATATACAACACTACAATATGCATAATATTTATTTTATTTCCTAGCATATGGACCATAGACTGGTGTTATTTTCAACATTTATAGGTTCAAGAATATGATTTTATTAGCCATTAGTGTGCTAACTACTTAATTGCTAACTTTGAGTTGACATACAGAAAATATATCCTTCCCTCCTCGAGGTCCTTAAAAATGAAGAAAAAAGTTTTTCTAGTTCACTATTTATGGTATAAAAATATGATCTGATTAAGAGATTGACCTTTCTAATTCAAAAACAATGAAACTATTTCAGGGCAACAGTAACATCCTGTAAATGGGCCTGCAGTCTCTCTTCCCTTAGTTAAAGTAATGCATAGGAATATAACCTGGAAAGAAGATGACTGATGATATTGCTAGTTTTCATTTGGGCCAATTTTCTTGATTGTTTCTTGCACATTTAAGAACAGCTAGAGTGTTCATGCTTATTTTTTTTAATATAATGATGTAGTTTCCCTAAAACTGGGCACTACATGTTTAAAACAGATACACAAAGTAACACTTTTTGACAGCATGTTCCTTTGGACTTGTTTTGTCTCCTTGAATTCTGAGTATTCCTTGGCCATTTTGTGTCAGTGCAAACAGGCCAGTACTGTTTCAGACACTTCAATTCCATGTGTAAGTTTAAGCTTTGATTGCAGTGAGATTTTTTAGCACCTTCAGTGGAGCAACATAAAACCCATTTGTCATTACCTGTAAAATCCCACATTTGGTTAACTTGGTGGATGTTTTGAATAGCAGAAAAATTCCATTTTTAAAGTCAACATCATGTAAAAGTAAATTCTTGGATTTGATGAAATTTTCTTAAATCACATGAATATGCCTTAGAGGTTTTATTTTGGCATTGAGGTATGATTGGATTATGTACCCGAATATTTAATTTTTAGCATTTTTAAGTAGAAATTCCTTTGTGCAGCTAGTTTCCTCGTATTAGGTGCTTATTGCTTCTCTTTTTACCATCACAGTATTTTTATGTCAGATATTTAGAGAATAGTTCTCAGATTCAGTCACAACTAATTGTAGAGATAGATTTGCAAATTGGTTTTCATTCTGTCTTTAAATGACCTTACAGATATCTTCAGCACACACTCATTGGAATTGTCCACCACTCTTGTCAATTTGATTTTCTTCTACTTTCATTTTTCTTGTAATTTTTTTTGTTTCAGATGCTGGATCATCATATTTGTTTTAAGTTGTACAGATAATTGCAAAAATTGTTCTGGAAAACCATTATGGCTTAAATTTTATCTAGAAAACCTTATTATGCATGTTTTAATTTAGTGGTCACTACAGATTCAGTAAATGTGTTTTAGAACTCTTATATAGAAAATTTTTGAACTTGGGGTTTTAGTAGACAGTTTAACAAAATGGTTTTGCCATCTTCAGAGAATATTTGTAGCCCCAGAACTTAATGTCAAACTCAAAACAAAAGCTCTATTAGTTACTTTTTAATTATTTTATTTCTCATTGCCCTTTTTTTTTTTTATTTCATGCAGCTCCAATTTTTAGTTTTTTGTTTGTTGTTTTTAATGCTTGGTATGATTTGCTATTTCTCAGGTTGAGTTGGGACATGAAAATGGAAGGGTTGAATTTTGTATACATAATATCTCCTTTCCTTTATGCCACTGAAATCCAGGGCAACAAATCTCAATGTTGGGGTATTTTGTTCCCCACAGTGACCTAGTCTCTGTATTGCTAAATTGATGCGGAGGCTCTTGAGGTTTTACCAGTCTCAGCCTCTATTCCAAATTGCTGAACTGCTTCATAATTCTAGCACGTAAGTTTTGTAAGTTAGGATATTGTTTTCCTTTTACAGTAATTCTGGAATGCTTTTCTGTGGTCTGAAATCAGTTGGGTTATTTTTTAGTTTGATATTAAAGCATGATCACTACCAGGTCTCAGTGTGTTGGGAATGGTAGTATTCAGGAACAGTTTTTAGTTTGTGTTTTTCCACTGTTGCTGTCTCATACTTTCCCCCAAGTTAAAAAGCTGTTAACAGACAGGAATAAAACACACATTGTAGTTTGTGTTGGTTTTTGTGTTTTCCACTGCTTTTTCTGTCTGTTGTAGGGGCTTTGTAAAAAAAAAAAAAGTGCTGTGCTGCGCATTAACGAAGGTAGTATAAGTTTTCATAAACAAAAGTTTTGAGAATCTTCGTTTCTGCCACTTAATCACTGGCATTACATGTTGTGCCTTGTGTAATCGTATTAGAGCTTTCTATTTTCTTCTGAAAACAGTTGTATTATGAGGAAAAGCTTCAGCTTCCTATAGACATCTTTTGATTTTAATATCCTTAGAATTGCTTCCTTTTTTATGCTTTATGTAGGTGAAAGATATGATCCTGAGCCCAAATCCAAATGGGATGAGGAGTGGGATAAAAACAAGAGTGCTTTTCCATTCAGTGATAAACTAGGTGAACTGAGTGATAAAATTGGAAGCACAATTGATGACACCATCAGCAAGTTCCGGAGGAAAGATAGAGAAGACTCTCCAGAGAGATGCAGGTATTAACACTTTATATCCTGGGTCTCTCAGAGTGGTAAGTTTATGCATCTGCAATATTGTGTTTTTCTTTTGTTTTCAACATTGTCATTGTTTAAAGTTCAAGTATTTTACCTAATGGGCTTTATTTTCTACAGGAGCAGTCCTAAGTTTACAGAAAAAACATTCATAATATACAGAGTTGTCATTTGCTACCTCTCACCACCACAGTTTGTTCTTACTAAACTCTTGTATTGGTATAGCATATTTGTTAACAATTGAAAGGATAATTTGTTGTTATACTATTAATAACTGAGGAGTATAGATTACATTAATGTTCATTTGTTCTACAGTTAGGCCCTGATATATTCCTAATAACCATCATAGCAATACCATATGAAACAGTTCACTGTCATAACAGTGTCTTTGCAAAAATATAGAACATTTCATGAAATTGCAGACACTCTTGTCTAGGATCCATACTAATCTGTGTATCTTTCTAGTTTTGTTTGTTTGTTTTTTTTATCTTACCAGTTTTAATAGAGGGATTACCAGAGCAAGCACTGTGCAGTTGCTTTCAGGATATGAAGTCAGAAATTGTTGTAATTACTATTGACATGCCTTCAGGTTGTCTCTGTTACTTTGTTTCTAAGTTGACCATATGTCATATATTTTTATACAGTTCTCTTAATCTTTGGTTGGAAATTATTTTCCCATTAAAAAGTTTTGGAGATAACTCTTTATTTACATAGCAGATGATTTAGCAATCTAAATATTGTTTAAGGATAATGAAGTTTATACATTAAGTTTAAGCAAATCTAAAATTCAACTTTTTCTAAAATACTTTATGTTTCTAAAATCAATCCAAATGAATTTTCAGTCCAAAAGTTTTCAAGTATGAACATAGAGTTTCATAACATTTCTGCTGATTGAGCATTTGTTTTATATACAACAGTACTTGGAACTTTACAACGTTCACTTTTTGTTAATAAGTGCCAATACAGCTATAAACTAATTTTTTTTTTCCAATTTAAAGGACAACATACGGAGGACTTAAAATTCATTAAAAAGGCACATAGAGTTGGATCTTGCCACCTACATCCACATAGATCTGAGTTTGATACCTGGCCTCAGCTTCTAATATAACTTCCTGTTCATGCGAGCCTTGCATTTAGGGTCTTCAAGGAATAGAGGTGCTCTGATCCATATACAAGACCAAAATTGAATTTCTGGCTCCCAGCACTAATGAGAACTTTCTTTCTTGTTTTGTTTTTTTAAAGAAAAAAGTACAAATAAAATCTAATCTAATTTTGAAGAAGGTCTGAAATGTTGGTATTATTTATTTATGTTTCCATATTAAATCCTTGGAATGCCTCTTTTGCACGATTTTTTTTTTTTAAATTTCTGGAATGTACTCTTTGAAGAGGAAGAACTTATTTTTAGATTTTAAATATGTGTATTTTGCAATTCCATGTCTAACCTGGCTCTTTTATATTGTAGGCATATGTACATGGTAGTTACGAATACTCAACTCTGGAAGACAGTGCCTACGTTAGACATTTTAGACAGTTTTTTCCACACTGATGTTCCCAAATTGATGTTTATATATAAATCTTTTGTTCTGTATAGAATGCCATTCTTTGTTATCCTTAGTTTATGCATGCACCAATTTGATGTATATTTAAGTAGAAGTTGGTTTAGTCTGAATTAAATTGCATCAGTAGAATATCTTAGCCTAAAGGAACTTTGAAGCATTTTATTCCATAATATTTATAAATGAAGCCACCTACTCTAATATTAGCAATATAGGTAATGGAACAAATTTCAAGTTTTTTTCCTACTCTTCACCCATATATCTCAGAAAAAAAAAGATAAACAGTTCCTTGTTAGTGAAGAGCAAATTATGGCTGACATGTTCATTTGTAGCATTTTAAAGTCATAGTTGTTTTACTTTTAGATTCTTTTCTTTTTGCTTTCTTAAAGATGTGTTTTTATTGCACCTAAGGAGCAGTTGAGACTACAGCTATTTTAATACCAAGGTTTTAGCAGTTAATTCTGATATAATAATGCTATTTTATTTTTAAGCTTTAAATCTGTAGTGAGCAAAAACTGAAGGTTTCCATTTTTCTTTTTCCATTTTTCTTTGTATGCATTCATATAAGTAGTTTTTTTGTAGCAGTGTTTTAGACTCATCTAGGGAATTCTGTATGTTTCTATTGCCCCTCCCCAGTATACACATATTGTTATTCAGCCAGCTTAAGTAACATTCTGTTGATCCCCATCAAAGTCAGTGTAGAATTTTAAAATAATCCCAAGTCTTCTTACTGTGCTTTATTTTTAATATCTTATAGCGATAGCGATGAGGAAAAGAAAGCCCGAAGAGGGAGATCTCCCAAAAGTGAATTCAAAGATGAAGAGGAGACGGTGACGACAAAGCATATCCACATCACGCAGGCTACAGAGACCACCACCACCAGACACAAGCGCACTGCAAATCCTTCCAAAACCATTGATCTCGGAGCAGCAGCACATTACACCGGGGACAAAGCCAGTCCAGAGCAGAATGCTTCCACCCACACACCTCAGGCTTCAGTGAAGGTGGGCGTTTTCTGGCAGGAATTCGCACATTACCCATGGTTTTATTCTTATAATCTATTCTTACAATTCTTGTATTAGTAGTCTTGGACATTTCTGATAATCATATTAATTATACATTGGCAAGTATTACTGAATCATTAATAGTAAGAAATCTGTCCACTTCCTACGTGATTGCCTATGTGCTTTTTGTGAAAGTAATGATGACACTTCTTGGGTCATTTTGGAAAAATTGTTCATTTTTTGAAAAGGCAGAACACTGTTTTCCCTCCAAGATGCCACTAAAAACAACTAAATTAACTAAGCAAGAAAATACTTGATAGTTTTGTAAAATGACAAATGAGGGACTACTGTTTGTTAAGGAAATAGTCTCTGTTAACATGTTGATGGAGCCTTTAAGGGAAGTCATCCCAGGTCAGTTTCAGAAGCACTGCTTCCTGCCTTCATTGGTTTTACTTACTCCCTAGAAATGAAATCCACCTTCCAAGCATTTGGCCACAAGTCAGTCATTTAGACAGACATTTGCCAATCAGGGAGATTTGCCTGGAAGATAAGATTGCTGTTGTCACTTATCCACCCATCTCTGTTTGCAGTAGCCAAAAGCTAAGGAAAACATTTTTTCTAATTTGTTTGGTACATACATATTTGGTGTCTTTAAAGATGAAATTAGGCCTATTTAGTGTGGAGAACCTTTTGCAAGATTTTATTCAAGTTATCTTTTTGGTTTTGATTATAACTCAGCTTTAATTATAATGACAACAAGTGTCTCTTTCTTTGTAGTTGTAGATTCCCATTCCTCTGGATATTTAGCTTATGGACAGCTGTATATGCTTTGATAAATAGCCATAATATTTAATAGCTAAATACATAGTGGCCACATAAGGAAAATCATCCAAACTATAATTTTTAACAGTAAACCAAGACATAAATATTAAAAGGATTTGATATTTAGATTTCTAGTGACATAATATATATACTTATGAATATGATGTTTCGAGTCTAAAGAATTTTTTTAAACCGGTATTTGTGTATAAATTGGGAAAGGTAGCTAGAACTTAGAGCAGATGTTTCACTTACTGGTTAAGACATCAGTTAGGACACCCATATTCCACTTAAGCAATTGGTTTCTATCTCTAGTTCTATCTCCTTTTTTCAGTTTCCTGTTTGTGTAGATCCTGTAAGGCAGAAACTGATAGTTCAACTAATTGGATACCTACCAACCTTGTAGGCTTCTGCATTGGGTTCCTGGCTCCCTACTCCAGTTCAACGGTTGTGAGCACATGGCAAGTGGACCATTGGATGGAAGCTCCCTGTCTCTTCATCCTCTCTCTGCCTCTCGGAGAGAAAAAAAAATAGAGCTGATTTTAGAAAAAGTAGGAATTTACTTTTGTAAGCTTACTATATGTTTATTTTCAGACATCAGTGCCTAGCAGCAAGTCATCTGGTGACCTTGTCGATCTGTTTGATGGGCCCAGTCCGTCAACAGCAGGTAAACCTACACTGTGACATTTTCATTCTTATGGCTGAGATTTCAGAGTCAATTTTTTAAAATACCAATTAAAGGAATTAATAAATACTTGTTGGAAAAAAAAATACCAAATAAAAATGAAGTGAAAAATAAAATTTACTTTCCTTGGACTTATTTCGATGTTAAGTTAGTGATCCCAGACCATTATTTGGTAGGGATTATTTAATATCCTAAAATAAAGGAGATGGCTGCTTTTCATATTTGACAATTCAATAATCTCAGTTTCTTTAGGAACTAATGCCTAATCTCTCTCAAATTGCCAGTTTGCTGTTTTGTTTTTATCTTTCTTCCTATTATTCTACCTTTCAAAGTTAGACCTTTGGAAACACAGTCTGTTTTCTGACCCTCAGAGCTGGCAAAAACCTATTTGTGTTGGGTAGTGAATTAAAAGCGGTATATTAAGAGTATTGAATCATTTGTAATTTTAATTGCTTTATATATCTGATATATATATCTGACTCCTATCTCATAATTAATGATATTTAGGATGCATATTTTTAACATTTTTCGTAATTAAAGCTTTTTAGAGACTTTCTTAATTCCCATTTTGAATTTTTTTAACTTAGAGAAACAAAAAAGTATGCTAGGATTGCCACCTTTGCATTCTTTATAAGCAGGCTGTGCTGTTCGTACTTTACTCTTTGATACAATCTTAATTCTAGCTGTCAACAAGAACACGCTCTTAGAGTTTGCTTAACTTTTCATTCACTTACTCAACAAATATTTGTTAAACCAGACAGTGGGCTTGGTGTTTGTAAAACAGAGTTCTTGCGTGGTGGAAAGGTCAAGTGGAGAAAGTAACCATCAGTCATAGTCACAGATAGCCGCCTGGCTGTAAACACAGGGAGTGCTTTGGAAGAAAGGCTTTGAATGAAACAAAGCGTGTCAGGATCTGCAAACATTGTCTCAGTGCTGCAGCAAAACCAGCTAACCAGTATCTTCTCATAGTTGATTTTGATGATTTCCTACATTTGATTTCCAGTGTTCTAGATTTTGAGTAATTCATAATTTTATGAAAAGTATAGTTTAGGGCTGCATTTGATTACAGTGTTTTATTAAACTGATATGTCTAAAATTAACATAGCTCAACAAAATGTCAGTTGTTTGGACTTTTTGGTTGTTTGATTTTTGTTGTTCTTGTTTGATTTTTAAGATTTATTTTTGCATTGAAGTCAAAAGTGGTGAAAAAGAGAGACACATACTCTATCTGCTAGTTCATTGCCCAAATGGCCTCAACCATTTGCTCTCAGGAGGCCAGAGCAGAGCTGGTCAAAAGCTGGGAACCGTTAGCTTTCTTTCAAGTCTCCCACATGGGTTCAGGGACCCAAGCCTTTGGGCCGTCCTCCACCACTTTACCAGACTATTGACAGGGAGCTGGCTTGCAAGTGGAACATCTGGGATTAGAACTGGCATCCATATGGTATGCTGGCACCTCATACCGAGGATATGCATACCATGCCACCATACCAGCCCTACAACTTCAGTTTTGAAAGACAGTCTTTCCAAGCCTATAGTAAGTATATTTCATGTTAAATGTAGACAGCAGAATTGGGTTGTAACTAACATGCAAAGTGAATCTGTTATTTCCAGTTGTATGTTATGATTTTTCAAAGCTGAATAGTTTCAAAACTTTACGTTAGTGTTTAAGTTTTTGATGGAAATTAGTTTTCATTAGTGATAGTTAGAGCATGTAATTAATATATATAATATATGTAATATACAATCTCCTATATTATCTTGTTATTCCTGCTCTCACATAATTCTTGCACTGGGAATAGACTTACAGGACATCTGATTTGAGATAGTTTGTAAGATTTTTTGCTTCCTTTCTCTTTTTTTTCTGTAACTATGGATGTAAATTTTTAAAATTACTCTTTAAACTGTCACACTATTATGCCCAGGGTTACAAACAACTGCATTTATTGTTTAACAATTTATGTGCTGTCTTTTTGTATGTTTTTAAGATCTGGGCTGTAATATTAATTGGTGGTTAGCATGTCATGGTATAATACAGATGTAGTGTCACAAAGTATCAACTGTTTTGGACTTCCTAGCATAAAATATTAAAGGACCCTTTTCATGCATCTCTGGGAAGTTTTAATGGAGTAATCAGAGAAGAATTAACTAGGAAGGTCAGATGAGTGGATGTAACTTTTTTCCTTCATGGTTTGAACAGAGAGAATTATTAAATACCATCATGCTTTCTTAGCTTGGTAAGAAACTTTTGAGTGATTTTTTCTTTTCCATTGCAGACAGTAGATAGACTAATTAAATGTAAGTAACAATTAATGTGAGTGCAGTAATTGATTGAAATCTGAAAGATTTTTTACCATAAGATTTAAAGTTAACTCCTGTTTGAAGCAATGTATTTTCCCAGTTGTGTGCATGTTGCCTTCCAATCAGTATACATAAATTTAGTTATCTCCTATTCTGTACTTCAACATCTTCATAATATATTTTAGATTGAATTCAGCAGAGAAAAAAAAAATGCATGCTAAACCTTTAGGACTTATAAATGAAAAGGTATAAGAGTTTACCATATTAACATTGCTATTTGGTATGCCATTTGGGTGTCATTTACCAGATGTGCCCATATTTATAATTGTGCCATCATGTGAGTAATATGAGCATGAACTGTAAAGCTAAGCAGATATGGCATCTGTACCAGTCATCAAAGATAACTCCTCTGAGAAAATACTCCAATTTTCCTTTATGTGTATGTGAGAGATTTCCTTATTGTTATCTTCAGAAAGATGTATAGTAAAATCATCATAGATTATCTACCAAGTTTAAAAATATGTGTGATACCTAACCATTCACCAAGATTTGTTTGAAACTATCTTGATAAATGTCCCATTTTAAAACACTTTCAAAGTTTTGAATGGTGGTTAGTAAGCTTTTTCGTAGTTTATTTCTCTGTAATATTTTAAGAAATGAACAGTGTGTTTAGAAAATAAGGAAATTAAAATGCTAAAAGCAGTCCCTCGTTTCTTCTTAGTCTATTTCACCTCTTCCTAAAAACAGAAAGTCTAAGTTGTCTTTCTTGTTCCTTGTTATTAGAAATTTGGGTTTTGCTTAACATGACAAAAATTATTTTTAGTCCAAAAGTAAAGTTAAAGAGTAAATACACCGTAATCGGTGCAGATGGGAAGACCTGATGAGACATTCGGTATATTTTGATTTTTTTTTTTAAGCTGCAAAGTTAAACATTGAAATGGACTCAAGGTTAAATCAAATCCAAATATTTCAGTAGTCTTAAACTTTAATCTGTGGCTTTATACTCAATAGTTGTTAAGGTTTTTTTTTTTATCTGAATATGAATCACCCCGTTATATCATCAATACTCAACATTCAAAGTAGAATTTCATTGGAGGTTATCTTTAGCTTTAAGCCAAGTTAACTACACATAAAAATTTTCCCACTTACTCCTCTTTTCAGACACTAGTAAAAGTAGTGCATGTTTATTTTAGAAATTCTATATAAAATAAGTTACCCTAATTTAGACACATATAGTTAATTTTGGTGGATATTGTTAAGACATGTTGTCTGTTCAGCCAGTACGTTTATTACACGGTAAATGTTTTTCAGGTTCTTCTATTTTTCTGGCTCTTCATGAGGAAATTTTTTTCATGTATAAACTGCTTTTCACCCACCACCTCCTTACCATTTTAAAAATAATCTTACCATGTGTGGCCATTCCATACTTTAATCATCCCTTCTTTTCTGGACATTTTTGTTTTGTTTTCTTGTTTTTTGTGGGGTGGAGAAGGGAAGTTCAACATTTTCTGTTATAAGCAGAGTAGCTCAAAATACATGCTTCAGAATACTCCAGTTTCATAAGGAGAAAATGCTGTCAATGTAAAGAATATTTTATTTTGCATTTGTTTGATCATTGAAGTTGAATGCTTGATATTTGTACATAGCAATTGTGACTTGTCTATTCATGCCCTTTGGGGTTTTTTTCCTGTAGGGGATATTCATCCTTACTGATCTCTTAAAACTTCCTTTGGAATTAATTATTTCATCATGTGTTTACATTTTTCACATTTTGTGATTTCATGTTAGAACTCATGTAAAAGTATTCTTAGTGCCATCTAGGTTAAGTTTTTTGTTGAAGGAAATTCTGTTTTTATTTACATACTATCTGCTTCAGCTATATTTCTCTTCACAGTGTTTCCTCGGAAAATACATGTTCCCAGCTGGTGACTGTAAATAACCTCCTTGCTGCCCTGAAAAGGCAGATGGAAATGGTTCATTTAAATGACAGCTCTCATGAGGGAATCTTAAAGGATGGCTCTTGTGAAAATTAGCAGTCTTCCACATGCAGCAATTTTTGGTAGTCTGTTTTATTTACATTCCCTTAGATGCGCTTATCTGGGAAAATGCTTAATGTAGGAAATTCCTGCTGGATTTCAAGCATTGGCATGAGTAACATTTATGTGATTATGGGTAGTCCATTTTAGAAGAGAGAAACTTTTCCTAAACAATGAAGGAGATTTTTAATTTCTGAGACAGCTTTCAGAGTTGGAGATCATATTAAACTGTCAAGGCATAATGTGTTGCATTTGAAAAGTTGAGAGAAATATTCAAATCTGCTTCATAGAAAGGTGGCTAGTATTTGTAAAATAGCTGTGTCTCATTCTGCTCCTTACTCTTGCAGTTCTCAAAGTAGTCATATTAAACTCCCTGTGTTAAGGGAGAATGGTGTTTGCTAGGAATAAGTTATGAACACCGTATAATTTCAATTCAGGTTGTAGGAGGTAGAGTAGCAAAAATAAATTTTTTCCCTAGTTTGAAGTTGTGGTTTATAATATCCAGTCCCTTTATTTTCAACATGAATTTTTTTGTAGCTAAACTATGTAGGTTTTGAAAAATCCCTAACCTGTTTGGCATAATATTCATATTTAGATTTATTCTCATTCTCTTCTTGGTTGAAGGGAAACTTCAAATCTCTTAGTGTTAAGGTAATTGATTTACTGTCATTCTGTTACTTAGCAGTGTATTTTGATGAATACTTTTAACAAGAAGGAACATCATAAAAAACAAATATACAAATATTAAGCATCCATTGTTTGCAACATGTTTTTCTGCTGGTTTTTATAGTGTAGAGCTCATTGATCTTTTGTGCTCTTGATCACATTTTGTCATGTGTGTGTACCTTTAAGAGAGAGAAGACCATGTCACTATGGTACTATCCTTTAATGAAGCATTAATATAATCTGAAGCATTGATTGGAGAACCTTGACTTGATTAGGCATTAGGTCAGTGATGAGTAAGGATATGTGTACAAGGATGCATATGAAAAATGGTGAAAAGAAAAATTAGTTATGCTTGCTGGATAGTTGACTACAGTAAGTGTGCAAATACCAAAAAGAATACCAAATACATGGTATCAGAAACTGATTTGCTCCTTTTATTACTGCTGGCCATTTATTAAGACGAGAGATAGTTCTACTTTAATTAACCCAGTTGAATGTACCAGATGGGGCAGAATGTCTTGCAGCGATAAGACAATTCAGAAATGGCACCAGATGTTGGAAGCTGTCCCTGGTGGTGTTTGAGTGCAGCCCAGATGTTCCAGTCCCACCTGGCTAGTTTCTAAGCACTGCAGGCTAAGCAGCTGTGATGTAACCTGTATAATGTTCACATAACACTAAAAGCACAGTAATTGCACTGCTTCTCCAGACTGCTAAGGTTGAAATTCTAGAAGGACAGAAATCTTTAAGGACAGAAATAAACACAACTCCTTAAAGTTTCAGATATTTGGCTATTCTGTTGATAATTGAATTTGAGAAAGTGGAATATCAAAATTTGACATAATGTCATCTTTCCAAATTGTAAATAATATTCTTACCCATGTAGTGTTTACAGATCAAAATATGTATGAGAATATGGTGTGTGCATGGAGGCTGATTTGAAGACTTGGAAAACAGCAGGTCAGGAGTAGCAAAAGCTGTTATTTTCCATACATTAAAATCAAAATCTCTTACATGGAGTAAATAATAAGAGGGAAAAAAGATGCTGAAATCATTGCATTGTATTTTTTTCTTCTTTCTTATATATTTAAACCTACTTTAGAACTTTTGCTTATTTATTTGAAAGGGACAGATGGACAGCATGCTCCCATCCTCTGGTTCACTAAAATATTGCAGTGACCTAATTCAGCTGGTAGCGGGAAGTTAATTTATATCTCAAGCATGGGTAGCTGGAACTCAGTAACTTGAGTCATCACTGCCACTTTTAAGGGTCTGAATTTACAGGCAGTTGGAGTCAGGAACCAGACTCAGGAAACCCAGGTACTGTGAAGTGTGCCATAAGCACCTTCATCCACTAGCTAAATGTCTTATCCTCGGCTTATGTTTATACAACTAATTTAAAGGGTTCCCCTTCTTATTTTTTATTTTCATAATTTAATTTTTTTAAAGGCTTATTTTTTTTCTCTACAAAGCAAAATTTTTTTTAAATTAATAACATTGTATTATGTGACACAGTTCCATAGATACTGGGATTCCTCCCACTCCTCCCATAACCCTTCCCCCATGGTGGGCTCCCCCACCCCACTGCGTAACCACAGTTCAAGTTCAGTTGAGATTCCTTCATTGCAAGCATATACCAAAAGGCTTACTTATTTTTATTGGAAAGACAGATTCACAGAGAGAAGAGACAGAAAGATCTTTCATCCATTGGTTCACTCCCCAAGTGGCTGTGGCAGCAATAGCTGAGCTAATCTAAAACCAGATGCCAGGAGCTTCTCCTGGTTCTCCCACGCAGGCGCAGGGTCCCAAGGCTTTGGGCCGTCCTTGACTGCTTTCCCAGGCAACAGGCAAGCTGCAAGCAGCCAGGACACAAACTGGTACCCATATGGGATCCTGACACTTGCAAGGGGAGGATTAGCCAATTGAGCTATCATTTTTGTTTGTTAAAAATTTCAGAAATACAGAAAATTTGCTCATTTAAATATGTTTAGTTACTTGTTATTTGTTTATTGTGCACTATTTATTCTGTGCCATTTGAAAGGAAATTTCAGACATGACATTGGCATCTAAAATAGCTCAGCATGAATCTCACAAGAGCATTCTCCTTTTATTCTTGGGAAATTAAAACACTTTTTTTCTTAATACACAAACCATATTCAGATTTCCCCCACTATCTCATTTATATCCTTTGAGTATAGCACTTTTTTTCCCCCTCAAAAATCCAGGGTCCAATCAAGTAATACGTACTTTATTTACTTGTCAGTGTGAATGATCTACTCCCCAGCAGTGTTTTACTCAGATTTTTAAACCTGATGAATATTGTTATGCACAAAGCATAATAGCTGGGTATGCTGTATATGCATGTTATGTTTGTGAAATATTAGTGAGTGATTAACTATAACCACAATCTCAAACATCTGCTAGATATAGGACTGATATTTGTAAAAGTCTGTGGTAGCTTATAAAGGGAACGTATTTGACACCGAAACCCAGATAAAAAATGTACAAGCGCGATCTGAGGCCTCTAACATTGAGTATTTTAGGTGTGGGCTTGAGTGTGGCTTCCTGAAATTACTTAGAGGTGTTCTCTAGTTCTCACAGTCTGACATCTTCCTTTTCTTTAACTCCTAGGAGGATCTGCCGATTTGTTTGGAGGATTTGCCGACTTCGGCTCAGCAGCTGCATCAAGCAGTTTCTCTTCCCAAGGTAGGATGTGATTTAATTGGCCAGAAATCAGTGAGGGGTGGAAAAATTATCAAAACAAAAAAATTCCCATCATCTCAGATTTCATTATTATGTTCTTATTCTCCTTGTAGTATTTATAAATCATAATTTCTAAGAAATTATTCACAGTGCATGTTATGGGTCTTAAATGTACCAAGTGAATTAATTTGATTGCAGGCTACTCAGATAAATCTAAGGAACATTGCTCATATTTGTAACTGTTCTAGGGGGATTCATGAGTAAGTTTCAGTAATTTGATTTTGGCAGCAGGAATATTGTTTTCCTTTAGCATTCGTTATTTCATTTTTGTAGATGAAATTTAATTGGGATTGGGCAGACAGACTGTCTTAACACATTGATTCCTTTAGGTACCTTAAAAAGTATATGAAAGTAAGTCAACTTCATTTTGACATATCCAAAAATTAGCAGTTGAAATCAAGCATAATTTAGGCTTAAATTATCAGCATTAAGATAGCTTGTCTTTTAGTATTTTCTGACATAGTTCTTATTTCATTTACTGTGGTATCTGTTTAACTTTGATTCTAGTTTTATAAAACTGGAAATCAGATTGTTGCTTCTTTAGAGGACAAAATAATGTCTATAAATTCATTCTTTGGGAAGGTTGATAGTTTTAGTGTTTCATAAAATCTGGCCGGTCTGCAGTTTGAAAGATATTTTAAAAATCGGCTATAAAAATCTTAAAGTGAATAAGGCAATAACAATACAGTTTCACTGATAGAATACAACTCCATTACAGATAAAATAATCTGTTAGCTCTAATATAATATTAAACTGATTACAATTTGTATTTAATAATGGCTGGAGTAGGTTTATGAGAAGTTAGGATAAATGCATAGCTTTTAATATCATTTGAAATTATTTTGACAGTTTTATAAACTCCAGTGATTTTCCAGAAACCAGAATTGTTTAGTAATTAGCTGCTTCATTTTGGTAGTGCAATTTTGCCTTTTCAGGGTTGGTATCTTACTTTAGACAAACTGAAGTGAAATGTTGCCTACTAATTTTACAAACTTTCTATGTAATTCCCAAAGTTTTTATGTATCTAAAAGTTGCCTACTATGCAAGTATTTTGAATATATTAATATTGCCTAAGTGATACATTTCTTCATCTGTATGCATGTGATTAATATAATGTGATCACCATTACGCAGGGGGCTGAAACTGTTGCAACAATGATTAATCATTCCTGAACAGTATATCCCCCTCTAGAAATCTTTTCTTCCCTTGATTAATCATCTCAGATACAGAGTTTTTGGATGGGGCAACACATTTTGCTCCAGCTTCCATTTATATTGTTTTATAGATAAATGAAATAGAAAATCAGGATAAAGATTACCTTTATCCTGCAGCCTTAACTTAGATTGGTTTAAATTGCTTAATGTATAGAAATAACTGGAACTCAGTGCAGTTTCTTTTATAAAGAAGATCAAAGACATGTTTTAGTAATACTGTGAAATAATAAATGTTAGTCAAATTCTTATATTAATTTGTTGGTAGGGCTTGGGACTTCTATGTGAATTATTTTCTTTTTGAGTATGATTACATTGTAGTATGGTAATGGGCAAATGTAATTTTTTTAAACTTCAAGTGATCTCTTGATATTTTGCATAATGAGACAGTATTACAGTGGTTGGGTACCTTTTAGGCTAGACAAAATGTATTTTCAAGTTGTAAATGAACTTGGAGTGCAAAGAGATGGTGTTAATTAACTTGGAAAATACATATTATTTGCTTTTGGGTGACAGTTCTGTGGTTTTTTCTTCACCTTTTGCTTTTCAACTTCCATTTATTCATATTTTTCCATTTTTCCCTTTCTTAAGGAAAGGCTTATTTAGTTATATGCATACATAGCCTAGTTTAAAGTTTTTTTTGTATGTCTTTAAAATTACTGTGTGCCAAATTGGTAAAATTATGTATGTTTAATTTACAGGAGTTTGACTTCCACTTTATGGCATTCGTACAGAAAAGAGAGTGCAATGCATTGATTATAGTTGGACTTTGACAGTTCATCCAGAGTTATAAGAACTTTGAATGATACTGTATTTTGAATTGCTTAACCATCACTATTTACACTGTACAGGTTAAATACAAAGAGGTTAAGTAATTCATTGGGTCACACAGCTAGTCAAGCACAACACCGTGCTCTTCACCAATGTCCAAAGTTTTCTATCAAGATTTTTGTTTTTCCTTATTTGAATGAATTACGGAGAGGAGAGACAGCGAGATCAGCCTTCCATGGAATTACTTACATTATTCTCCAGGTGACCGCAGTAGCCAGGGATGTGTCAGTTAGAAGCCAGGAGCCAGGGCTTCCAGGTTTCCCAGGTGCAAGGGTCCAAGTGCAAGGACCGTGTTCTGCTTTTCCAGGCACACTAGCAAGCATTAGCCATGGAGTAGCCAGGTCTGATACCAGTGCCCGTAAGGGGTGCCAGTGTTGTAGGCCTTGACTGTGTCCACTGCCCACAGTGCTGATCCCAATCTGTCTGTCTTGATATTGAATATGTTGGAAATGTATTTTGAAGTGTCATGACAGAATTGTTTGTTTCTGCTTAGCTTTTTAAATCTTACCATGAGTTTCACTTCTCCTGTTTTTATTTAAGTAAATAGAGGAATACTTAAAGCAAACCATGTACTGAAGAGTATATCATGGTGATAAACTTTGTATTATAAATGGAAACATTTCTGCTAAATGAGTGAGAACTCCTTTAAAAAGCCTTTCATTTTACTAGAGTAGTCCATGTGCTTGTTTCTTTTTAAAATAAATTACATGAAATAGCATAACTTTTTTTTATTTCTCCATAAACTCTTCAAGTGAATTTTGCAAATTGAATTGAGTTCCCTAATTTTACCAAATGTTTCCTCATAAGAATTTCTGAAGTACCCAAAAGAAATTTAAACAAATCAAGAGTTTCTTCCTTGTGTTTCTGGGTCCCAGGCTAGAACATATTTGTTTAACTGGAAGTGTATTTGGTTGAAGGAAAAAAAATTTTTTTAAGGTTTATTTATTTTTATTGGAAAGGCAGATATACAGAGAAGAGGAGAGACAGAGAGAAAGATCTACTGTTGGTTGATTCACTCCTCAAGTGAGTATAACAGCTAGAGCTGAGCTAATCTGAAGCCAAGAACCCAGAACCTCTTCCAGTCTCTCATGAAGGTGCAGGGTCCCAAGGCTTTGGACCGTCCTCAACTGCTTTCCCAGACCACAAGCAGGGAGCTGGATGGGAAGCGGGGCTGCCGGGATTAGAACCAGCTCCCATATGGGATCCTGACACGTTCAAGGCAAGAACTTTAGCCACTATGCTATCACGTTGGAAAATTTTTATGATGACTTTTACAAGTTACCTATAGACCTGCAAAGTTTCAGTGTGTATATAGAGCTTTTTCCCTTTGTTACCTTGTTAACATTCGTGTAATATCCATGAGAAAAAATAATGTCCATATGGAGATGATACCTGTAGATGTAGACTCAGATCAGTTCTAATTTGTTTCCATTCACAGATTGTTAGCATGTCTCCTGTGTGTTTCAGAAAGTTTCTTACCTTTACAAGTTTTTGTTTGTTTGTTTGTGTTTTCTTTTTGTTTGTTTTTGTCTTGGTAACAGCAACAAGTGGGAATGGAGACTTTGGTGATTGGAGTGCCTTCAGCCAAGCCCCGTCAGGTCCTGTGGCTTCCGGTGGCGAGCTCTTTGGCAGTACCACACAATCAGCAGTAGAACTTGTTAGTGGGTCACAACCATCTTTAGGCCCTCCAGCAGCTGCCTCAAACTCTTCAGATCTGTTTGATCTAATGGGCTCATCCCAGGCGACCATGACATCTTCCCAGAGTATGAATTTCTCTATGATGAGTACTAATACTGTAGGACTTGGTTTGCCCATGTCAAGATCACAGGTAAGTTTTTACTTTCCTTAGAAATTATGATCCACAATCTTTGAGATGCTCTCATAATAGGCTAGTATAAAATAAAAGTGAGCTTATTCTGTATATATCTATATGTATTCAGTCCTGTGTAATTTAACAGAGATACATGTGTTCTGAGACATGCAGCGTAAGGTGTTCCATTATTGCGTAGACATCATCGAATGTTCTTAGACCAAGTCAGAGAGCTGTGATGCCAGTAGGTGGTAGTGTATGGGGCCATTGTTGACCAAATGTTGGTGTGCAGCACAAGGCCATGTATACTCACAAACTTGAATTTTAAAAACCTTTGTTTTAAATTGCATATCCCATGAACTATTTGAAGTGCTCTTTTACTGTTATGTACACACGTGTCTGATTTGCTTTTCTCTAATGTGCACATTTGAGTTCTATAGGGTTAGATCTTCTGACACATCTTGTAAATCTCTGTAAAAATGAGCAAAATTATTTGCATAAGGAAGGGACATACTGCAAGACTATTTAGAACAAATTAGTATTCAGTAGATTTTGAAACTTGTTTTTTTTGGTGGGGGGAGAAAAAGATACTGTTTTCCATCTTTTTTTTCCACTCAGAGAAATTTCCATTCATTCATATCCTTAAAATCACATCCCTAATTTGTTGTAAATAATCCGTGCTAATATAAAAACTCAGTGTTTCAAAGGGTATTTTCCTTTTCTGAGCCTGCTGTATAAAACGTTTGTTTTTCCAGCTTTCATTTTTATAAAGGACGTATAACATTACAATACCCTAATGTACTTTTTATAGTTAAATTCAACTTACCTAATATGAACTTAGAATCCCTGCAAGTTTAGTGTGAGCAAATATATGCCTGAGTTGTACCAGGAACTTGGGTGCTTGACTAAAGTGCTTGTAGATATTTGTTTATGATGGTAATTACTCATTTTAATGTGTGAAGTTTCCTCTTTTGGGTGTTAGGATGAAGGGGAAAAAAGAAAGAAGCAACAAGCTGACTGTTGTGTATAACATGAATTAGATGTAGCATATGATACTTGCATGAAGCCAGTCTGTCTTCGGTGACAATTACAACTATGTTGTGATTCTTTGTACTGGTATATTTTAAGAATTATTCTTCCTGTTATTCCTCTCCTTTTTTTTTTTTTTTTTTTTTTTTTTGTCCCTCTCAACAATTGTCCTTAGTAGCTACAAAATAGTTTTGTTTCTTTCTCCTGAATTTCTGGTTTATCGTAAATTGGTCAGTAAATGCATCAAATTCCACTCATGTTAGGTAGTGGAACTATGAAAACTATGAATACAGTAGGGAAATGACACTCAGGCTATGCTAAATATAATTTATATTTTAAAATTCTCTTTGTAGAAATTGCCATTCACATAGTTCCTTAAAACTATTCTTATCTAAAGTTGGGCATTGCCCTGAACACTTGGGAAGGATGGTAAATTCTAGACTTTGGGTTATAGAAGAGTAATTGCTAGTGTAGACATACTGTGGATTCTTTCTACCCCAAATCTGATTGGAACTTGAGAGGGCTCTCCTTAGGAAGCTAATGATTAGGGTATTGATGACATTAGCATAGAACATTTTCAATTTCCTATAGTTTCTGAAATAGATTAGTGATTACTATCTGATATTGTCTGGGAAACAGATGCTTAATTTTTAGAGCATTTTTCTGTTTTCCAGCCTTTGCAAAATGTTAGCACAGTGCTGCAGAAGACTAATCCTCTCTATAATCAGAATACAGATATGGTCCAGAAATCAGTCAGCAAAACCCTGCCCTCAACTTGGTCTGACCCCAGTGTAAACATCAGCCTGGACAACTTGCTACCTGGTATGCAGCCTTCCAAACCCCAGCAGCCATCGCTGAATACAATGATTCAGCAACAGAGTAAGTTATTTCAGGACGTCTCACTTCTCTGTGTACTTTTTACCTTTTGTCTTGATGCTGGGACTACTTTAAGCTGTGAAGTAAAAATATATAACAAATTTAGGAACTAAATTCCATGCACTCCCATATAACAGTTTTTCACATAATAATCGCTTGATGTCCCTGCTAGCATATTAACTTGCTTTGTGTTTTGTTCTTGACATGATAATACTTACTGCGTTGCATTGAATTTGGGTGCACTGTATACTGAAATATATTTGCTATTTAAATTTTTTTAATGCAGAAATGAAGATTGTCTAAATGACACTGTCTAATGATAATCGTCATTAATACAGCTTTCCAATTTTTTTTTTCTTTTTTTAAAGATGATCATTTTTTCGGCCAGCTGCTGGTGCATCTCTCTAGCTGACATAATCTCTCTAATGGTTTTTGGGTTTTTGTTTTTAATTGGAAGGTGAGATTTACAGACAGAAGGAGCGAAAGAAAGATCTTGCATCTGTTGGCTCACTCCCCAGTGGCTGCAATGGCCAGAGATGAGCCAATCTGATACCAGGAGCTTCTTCTGGGTCTCCCACAAGGGCTCAGAGTCCCAAGACTTTGGGCCTCTTTGACTGCTTTCCCAGGCCACAGACAAGGAGCTGGAAAGGACGTGGAGCAGCTGGGGTTAGAAGCAGCACCCATATGGGATCCCAGCACATACTAGCGAAGACTTTAGCTGCTAGGCTATCGCACTGTGCCCCCATCTTTCTAGCTTTTACAAGGATATTTTTAGTAGTTGGAATCAATCTGTATTATGTTTCTTTGTGTTCTCATTCTGTGTTAATTTATGATCATTTTTCCTTGGTGAATATCGGGAGAAATGACTTTTGAATCTTTAAAGTATTCATCTAACCAATAATAGAATTCCTCTTTTTGGGTTACTTACGTTGTTGCTAGCTTTTTATTGTAAAAGTAACTTTGTGATTTTATATAAATCTATGTACTTTTAATTTTTTCATATAATATAAAAGTAGAATGAATCTGTAGTGATACACAGTACCTCTTGACAACTGCTGTTTAGAATTCAGTAGATTTATAGCAGTTTTTTTTAATTGGTTCATATTTTTCCCATGCTCATTCTTAATTCTTGGTACATATTTGAGAAACTAAGCCAACAACCACTAAATCTTCTGAGAGCAACTGGTTTAAATCCATTGTCTTTTTTAATCACTATTTGGGGGCTAGAAGTACTGATGGCCAGGAAAAGTGTATTTTGTATTTTTATTTGTTTATTTTAGATGCTCTGTAAGAATTCAGTGTATTAAAATTCTTCCATCTCTTTTCTTCTGGTAGATATGCAACAGCCTATGAATGTGATGACTCAAAGTTTTGGAGCTGTGAACCTCAGTTCTCCATCAAACATGCTTCCTGTCCGGCCCCAAACTAATCCTTTGATGGGGGGACCCATGCCTATGAGCATGCCCAGTGTGATGACTAGCACCATGGGCATGGCCCCTCTGGGAAATACTCCGATGATGAACCAGGGCATGATGGGCATGAACATGAACTTAGGAATGTCAACTCCTGGGATGGGCTTGACAGGCACGATGGGAATGGGCATGCCCAACATAGCCATGGCTTCTGGAACTGTGCAACCTAAGCAAGATGCCTTTGCAAATTTCGCCAACTTTAGCAAATAAGAGATTGTAAAGAAGCAGAATAAATGAAGAATTTTTAGCTGTGCAGATAGGTGATGCTGGGATGGACAGTGCTAATCAACTCTACATTCTTTTATCAGTTAATTAAATAAACCTATGTAATGAACCAAAAAAGCTATTTTATACAAGTGAAGTATCTACAATTTTAGAAGGCCAGGCAAGAGCTCTTCAGTTGAGACAGTCCTTTTTCCCAGTGAGGATGGACCACTAGTAGAGTGGTAAGAACACTGAAGGCCTTTATAAATTAAAGAGTCCATTTAACATCATAATTTGTGTGGGAGTATTGAAATAGGGCTGAGTAAATGTTAGAATCTCTAATTTTATACTTTCGTTTTCCTGAGGAACTTGATTTTGCTGTCCTTGAATCGCCTTGTCATAATTGGGTCTGTTCCTTTTACTACCACTCTTGAGTCCATATATGAAATCATTAAAAATGTTGGATGATCGGTTTTTTTATAAAAATATATATTTTTGTCCAAAAAAAGCATACATATGTGATTATGGCTAAATCAAAGGTAACTGGAATGTATATACTTTTGCTAATGTTCCAGCAACACTGCTATTATCCAAATTTTTATTGTACAAAACTTTAAGCAATTGGTAATAGCTATGGGACTTTTCCCATGTCTTCTGCTATAATTATCCTTTGGAGAACTAGGAAAAATATTTTTTTCAGGACTGCTCTATGGTTTCCTTTAAAATTAAACAAACAGTATTTTATTTGTTTCTTTGCAGTCATTATTTACAGTTTGCAGTGATTAACTTGGCAAGGCTTCCTTCCGTGTTTATCCCTGTAGCCATCATTTAAGTCAGGAAAAGTCAAAAGAAAAAAATATTTATTTTTTTTCGATGTCTTTTCAAAAAAAGTTGAACAGGTAAAAATTCATTAAAACCTTAAGTTAAATATCAATGTTAGAATCCAAAATGTTCACGTTTAGATTTTATACAGTACTTGTTTTGTTTGGGTTTTGAGTGTGTGTAATATGCCATTAGCAATATGGCTCCAATAGAGAGGCGTTAAATATATATTATTAAAGGGAGACCTGTAGCAGTCAAAGATTTTATTGATTTAATGACAGATAAAGGAAATTAATTAAAATGTTTTTGTTTTCCTGCTGTAATTCTGCATTGAACTCACATGAAAATCATGATTCTAGAGTTTGGAATGCAAGATTAATTGTTTCACCCTCAAGCTGGGAATATTTTTTAAACTAAATATTATAATATAGTTATCAAATTATTACCTCTCCACTTTATGTTGAAATTTTTTATTAAATTGATAAACCTTTGTTTCCATTGTATTCATAATGTTCTGTTATACACAATATTAAAATGTTCATTAAAATCAATGTTGAACTGCTTTTTCTTCTTATTAGACATTTGAGACTGTTTGGGGGAAAAATAATTATAATTTGGGCAAAGTAATTTTTATAAATAATTTAAAATTACTTAATGACTTCTCTGTTCTTTTCTATCAGACTCCACTGTTAGGAATTAAAAATGAAGCGGCACAGATATCCTGACCTGCTCTATTCTTGCTAATGCTCCATCTACAACATTTCTAATTAGGCAGAAATTCATGTACTTCAGCTAAGTGGTAATGAAAAGTGATTCATTTGCTGAATAAGAGATGAGAGAGAGTGTAATTAGCTGACTGCGGTTTTTAATCTTTCAACAATTCAGTGTGTTTAAATTAGTTTCAAAGAATAGGAGCTTTCAAGTGTTGTTACTTCAGACCAATCAAGCCAACCTCTGGTGGCAGCACAGTAGAATAGCTCCACTTACATTTACAACCCATAATGTTAAATAATGCTTTTCTTTAAATTGAGAACTATGTGTTTCTTAGAGGAAGAACATATTTTTTATCTGGATATATGGTGGTTAAAATTTTTTATGGTAAGATTTTTCTGGCAAGCACTTTCCTCAGCAGTGCCTCCCTGTATTTGATCTCTCTCAGGATACTTAAGAGTATCCCTTATCTCCTTTTTAATCAACACACATTTAGTATTTAGAATCTTAGTAATTAATATCTTCAAAATATTTTTTGTATTAGAGCCCATGAAAAAGAAAAATATCCTTATGGGGAAAGGGGCCATCTATCAAATTTCAAAAAAACGATTACTAAGTGATGCTTTAAAACAGACATGAATTTCCCCTACTTCTTGGAATTGACAAGAGAATGGCTTTTTTTTTTTTTAAGATTTATTTTCATTGGAAGGCAGATTTACAGAGAGAAGGAGAGACATCTTCCATCCACTTGCTGCCCAAGCCTGTACCTTGTTTGTGGTGTCCCGCATGGGTGCAGGGACCCATGACTTTGGGTCATCCTTGATTGTTTTCCCAAGCCACAGAAGTGGAACTGGTTCAGGCAGGGTGCAAATGAGCACCCAAATGGGGTGCTCATACTGGCAGGTGCAGGATTAGCCAATTGGGCCATTGTGAGCCCATTGCCTGTGGGGCTCTCTTTTAATCCTGTACCACTTTCCTTCTTACCCAAAGTTCTGTTTGTATCCAGTTGTCATATTGCCTAATGCTGTGGGGGTCAACCAGACTTCTCCACCTGCAGTGTTTATACATAGCTAGCCACTCCAGATTCATTTTGGTTTTCCTCTAGATTTTGTTTGTCTCTGTGATATCTTCAAGAACCATAACTGCACACAGAGTTCTTATACAGCACTTTGGAGTTCTGTTTCAATTGCCTGAGTTATTTAGAATGCTAAGAGGGTGGTAGTAGTTTAGTCATAATTTGGGGCCTGTAATCACTTGTATTTGAAAGGGTTAGTACTTTTTTTCTAAATGTGAAATAATAGTTTTTCCTATACAAAAGAGTTAATCTTCGGAATTTCATTTTGTCTCAATATGGTGATCCATTGTCTCGCTGTATTTTAGTGGCTAAGATGCAGAATTTGTATGGGCAGGGCTGAGCTGAGCTTAGACAGGTTCCTGAAGTAAACTGGCTGGTTTATTTAACAGCTCTCCTAGACAACACTGCATTGTGTAAAGGTACATGGCTTGGAAATTGATGAAATCCTGCGTCCACCATTTACTGTGTAGTCTGGATCTGTTTACCTGACCAGTATCGACCAATACAGTTTTTCTAAAATAAATTTAATCTTGCAGTGTTAGATAATTAAATAGGATGATTAGTTAGATCTACCAGCACTGGCAAATGTGGTGTTCATGTGTCCCCGTCCTCACTGCCATTTTTTTTATTGATGTGAGCATATTTACATATAAACAACTTTGTGCCAGACTGTATGCCAATTTTTCACAAGAATTTCATTTAACTTACACAACAAATTCAGAAGTTTTTATTCCTGAAAGCAAAACAACCAAGAAAGCCTGTAAGACTAATGTCTTTTTCTGATAAGCATTTACTATCTGCATTAATTTGAAACCCTGTTTTCTTTAACGGTCATCAGATATTTAGCATATATCAATAGATTTTTTTTTAACTTTTGAAAAGCCATGAACACAAGGGGACTTCAGAAAATTCATGGATGGTATATTATTAAGAAAAAAAAACATGAGGCCAGTACTGTGGCACAGTAGATGAAGCCTCCATGTGTGGCATTACAATTGCCTATGGGCATGTTTCTAGTCCTGCCTATTCCATTTCTGAATCAGCTCCCTGTTAATGTGCTTGGGAGAATAGTGGAGGGTGGTCCAAGTCCTTGGGTCCCTGTACCCATGTGGGAGATCTGCAGAGAGCTCCGGGCTCCTTGCTTCGAAGTGGCCAGCTGATGGAAGGTCTCTGTTTTTTGGCTTGCCTCTCTAACTCTGCCTTTGAATTTAAAAAAGAAAAAAAAGTTTGTTTATTTTTTTGATGCATGGATTTCAAAGTTGCACCAAAATAAACTCTGTCTTGGTTACATTTTCCACGAACTTTTTGAATTAAGTTTGTGTCAGTGTTTACTGTATATGAAGTTAACAGAAACTTTGCAAATAGAAATTGGTATGACCATAATAAATTCACTACATGTTAACAAAATGCAGTTCTACCAACTATATTTACCAAAATGAAAGTTTGAGTGATATTTTCATTTTTGCAAATCTGTTTAATGCTAACCTGGCCTAATAGGATATAGCTGGGTGCCCTGATCTGTTTCCAGATCCAATCTTCTGTGTTTTGATGGGAGTGCTGTGTGTAAAAAGTTCCAACTCAGCAGTTGAGAAGAAGACTGCGTTCCCTGGGAATTGGCCTTAGGACACTTCAGTGGTCTTCAGCCTGCGCTTGGCCAACAATAATAGAACGAAGCGGTAAGATTCTTTTCTAGTGTATTATACATCTGTTTGTTTCGTTTATTCCAAAGTGATCTGCTTGAGTTACAAAGAACTTACTTTTGCCTTTCACCATTCAGCAAAACACCAACCACATGAGATTGTTTTCCAGATACTGAATTTTAAAAATAGATTATACCATAGAATTTTGCTCAGTATTTAGTGATTTATTTTGACACACAGTACGTATCTACCAGTTTGTGAAGAGTTAAGTTTCTTTTTTTTTTTTAAAGATTTATTTTTATTATTTTTTCATTGGAAAGGCGGATATACAGAGAGGAGAGACAGAGAGGAAGATCTTCCGTCCTCCCCAAGTGAGCACAATGGCCGATGCTGTGCCGATCCGAAGCCAGGAGCCTCTTCCGGGTCTCCCACACGGGTGCAGGGTCCCAAAGCTTTGGGCCATCCTCGACTGCTTTCCCAGGCCACAGGCAGGGAGCTGGATGGGAAGCGGGGCTGCCAGGATTAGAACCGGCGCCCATATGGGATCCCGGGCCTGCAAGGCGAGGACCTTAACCACTGCGCCACCGCGCCGGGCCCAAGAGTTAAGTTTCTTAGCCACATGGACATAAGCTGAGAGATTGGCTGTTGGATACGTAGTGAGTTGAAAACCTGAATATCCTTTTCTGGCTTTCATTAGGTCATGTCTGAAGGCCTCTGACCTGTTTACAAGGGACCCTGGAAATTTTGTTTGCTTAAATGTTCTCCGACAGATATCCCGCAGGAAGATACTTCTATGGAAATACTGCGTCTGTGTTGTGTGCGATCCCTGCTGTGTAAAGGGAAATACAGTGAAGTTGACATCCACTTCATGAATTGGGGGTGCTAAGCTGTTAAGTAGCTCCATCACAGCATTGCATTTTCACAATCCCTGAAGTATCCCTTCGCCAAGATGAGAGAACTAGAGTGACAGGGATAGCAAAAGCTTTTAGAAATTTGAGTCAAGTCCCCAGTGTGGATACTTGATTTCCAGTGGCTTGGGGATGCAGTATATTTGGCAAGAGTTTTTATTTTCTTTTTATCATATAAAGAGGAAGGAATTTCTAGATCAGGTTCCTCCTTTAGGAGCAGTTCAGTACCTAAAACAGACACATCATTTGTTAAGGAAGCATTGAAGCTGTCTGATAATTTATAAATCACTTCTGTTCAACTATAGTTTACTGTGCTCGCTTTGGCAGCACATATACTAAACTATAGTTTACTTATTAAACTATAAATGTGATAATGGATTGTGTTTCAATATTCATAGAATTATTTTTGTACCTTTTCAGTCACCAAAAATTAAATCAAGAAGCAGACATTTGGTGCATCAGTTAGGATACTTCTATTCGTCCAATATCCAAGAGTGTGATTCAAGTCTTGGCTCCTTCATTTCTGATCGAGCTTCCTACTAATGGGAGGCGTCAGATAAGGGCTCTGGGACTGGAGTCCCTGTCAGTCAGTTTGAGAGACAAGAATGAGTTCTAGGCCCCTAGGTTCCTCCTGGCTCAGCCTTGTCAATTGTAGACATTTAGGGAATGAGTGAACCAGCAAGTGGAAGATTTCTTTGTCTCTTTGCCTTCCAAATAAAGTGAGAACTGTATAAATTTATTTATTTAAAAAAGAGACAAAATCAGAAGCAGGCATTTGGCCTGGTGGTTAAGGTGCTTGCAATCCTGCACTGGAGACCGCGTATTTGGGTCCTGGCTGCACACCTGATCCCAGCTTCCAGGAAAGTGAGTAATAGCTTACACAGTTGAGTCCCTGGATTGAGTGCCTGGCTACTGACTTCAACTCGAGCCATCATTTGAAGAGTAAGTATTGCGATGGGAACACTATTTCTCAGTCTCCATCTCTGCTTCTAAGATAATTTGTTAGTGAAGGAAAATAATACCAGGAGTCATAGTAATTATGATGATGTAGAGAACGTAAGTCCTACCAACTAGGAAATGGGATTGCAGTATTATACCGGGACACCACACCACACAGGACCCCTACCCACGTTTTCTTTGGTGTGTTTATTCATGTTATGTGTCTACTACCTACATTACCTAAAAATTACCAGCTAAGGTAGCCACAACAAATTTTCCCATAAGATCACCACCTGGAAGCGTGGGCAGGAGTTAAGTGTTACGAAGGCGCTAGTCAAGGTACTGCTAAAGGAGCAGAAGCCTAATTCAAGTGTAGTCATTGGTGAGGACCTCTGGGAAAGGAGCTTGTACTATGATGTGTGGAGAATGAAGAGAAGATAGTGGCCATGCTGGAGGAGAGGATGAGTTGAGCCATGGAAACTGCATGTGGGAAGACTCCCAAGTGGAGAGAGGATTGCTTAGGGTTCATTGAGTTTGGATAGAGCTTTTTAAGCAAAAGCAGTAGAATGGGGGAGGCAGTCAAAGGCCAGAAGTTGGTGTGTAGGGTGTTGAGGTAAGTGATTCATTCCCCTTAAGTCCCTGTAGGCATCTCAAATGCAGTGTTCTGAAAGCCCTATTTGCTTTTGTTAGCATGGTTGCCACAAGGCTCACTTGAGCATTAAAGCTGAGTGAAAAATTTTATGGTAGTGGTTTGGTATTTATTGTCAAACCTGAGGTATTCATGTTACGGTTAAGAAGTGTCTTAATACTCATTTCTTCCCTAGTTAGTCCAAAGCTATGATTGTTGTGATGCTCTTAAAGGAAATCAAGGCCCAAAGAATTCAAGATTGTTCAGAAAACCACATCTCCTAGAACTGGTCATCAGAATCCAAATTCAGCTTCATTCCAGTATCTCTCATTACCTGCTATAATGTTTCAGATTCTTGAATTCAGAGGTTGTTTCTGTCACACATATCCTCTTGAATTCCAACTAGTTTGTCCCCAGATGCCCTGTGATGCTCCACATATACCAGACAGTTAGTAAATGCTGGTTAACTAATATGTTCCTGAAGTAAGCACTTCACGTAATCTGTTTGCGTTTTCTGAAGGTCAGCAGTAGGAGACGAGCCTGAGAGCCAATGAAAACTGATCTCTGCAGAAGGGTAAGTGTGTTGTTGACGTGGTGAGATAGCTTAGCATAAGCCATTAGCTAAATCTCCCAAAAAGTAGGAAAATCCAGCAGAATGGGAATTAAAATTGCATAAAGATTACTCAAGGAACCGAAAGATATGCTTTAAAAAAAATAAGCCACAGGATGAAGCTTAATGTCACTGGATTGTTTGGTTGAGGAATCTGTTTCAAAAAATGCACTGCAATGTTTTCTAGAGATTGTGTGCTCTTGGACATTTTGTGTTTGCTTCTGTGACTCTTAAGCTGAGAAATAGAATTGAGATGCTAACTCAAGAAATGATAGTAAAAATGGGATTTCTAGGTATTACTAAAGGAAGGTTTGAATTGACAATTTTAGGATCAGGTTTAAAAATGCATTTAGAAATATCTAGCCTTTTGAAAACCTTGCTTTGTTTGCCAATAGTAGAGCATCCTTATTTTTATAGGGAAAAATACTGTTTGATGAAAAATTTTTGATGAAGTTTGGGATATAAATGACACGAAGAACCATTTTTCAATTGGTCTTTTTTACGGGAAAGCAGTAAGCTAGATAAGAGATTATCATCAAAGTACCTTAATTGCAGTGAACTTACTGGGTTTTTAGATATTGTCCTTTGACTGCAGTGAATCAAGGAGTGATTCTAGCTGAAAACCTTTGTCAGTTAAGAGTTCATCATATCCTTCGCATCCTCCAGTGTAGAAATGTGTAGGTGTGTCTTTACATATACTATTTCTAGGTATATAAAAATGTAATAAAGTTTGGCACTTAAATACTTTCTCTTCACCAAAATTTTTAGACATCCCAAGAGTTCTCAGATTTAAATGATAAAAGGGGTGCCATAAGGCACCATTTTAGTAATTAACTGATTCTTTAATAAGGCCTCAATTACTTTGTTTCATGATAAGGAAAAAAAAAAAACATGTTCCAAGACAGAGTTCCATTCGACATCTGGGAACCTCCTAACAGCTGGCTACCTAATGAATATGCATCTGCTTAAAAGGCTGTAGACCATTAATAAACCAATAGATGTAAAGCAGAAACAATCTCTGTCAACTTCAAATGAGATTGGATGCAATGTGCTGTGAAGTGTCACTGTCACATTGAATTGAGTTTGGGAGGTTAACAATCACCTCTTAGCTACTCATGTCTTTGTATACTGCACTGGTGCTAACACTCTTCCAGAACTGGTGGTCATGGTTCTGATGTACAGCTTCTTTCTCCTGATTTGAGGCTTACAATGTCCCTGTTGCAAAAATGTCTTTCATTTTTTTTTTAATAGTAAATCACATGTTTGCCAAGACACTTTTAAACAAAGGCATGATGCCTATGGGGAAGGAAGAAAATATCAGGAACAAATTGCTGAAAGATGTGTGTTTAGTGAACTAGAAAACTCTTAGAGAATGAAACCAGTCCCTAGCAACCACCTTGTACTTCCTGTGTATGAATTTCACTACCGTACCTCCCTTAGAAGGTATGTCTTGGAGTGTTTGTGCTCTTCTAACTGCCTTTCTTCATCTTGCATGGAATCCTCAAGGTTCATCCAGGTTACACCATGTGCCGGAATTGCATTCCTATTGAAAGATGAATACTGTTCCCTTGTATGTGTGTGCCCTGTTTGTAGAGGGCCTCTTGAGGGGTTTCTCCCTTGTGGCTGTTAGGAGTGCTGCTTTGAGCAGAGATATGCAAATATCTGTTGATGAACTTGCTTTCACTTCTTTTAAGCATATACCCAGAAGTAGAATTACGTGGCAACTCAAAATTTAATTTTTGGAAAAACTCCATTTGGCTCACTTTGGATTTCTTATCCTTTTACTTTGGCACAGAGTCCTTGATCATGGTCCGTTTCGCACTTTGGTCTTTTCAATGGGAAATCCCAGACTTATTAAAGATCTTAGATGTTATTTTAGATTTTTTTTATCATGTTACGTTTGGAAAATAAATGGAAATACACACCAGTAGAAATAAGGGTTTTAAAAAGGGAATTAAGGGCCATCCAGTGCCCACAGAAATAAAGTACAGAACAATGTGTTGTTCTATCACAGACTCAGGACTATGATTGTCTTTGAAAGAACCCATGGCATTAAACACAGGAAAAATCCCAAGAGCTGGTAGATGTGTGAGTAGCTATTTTGTTAAATAAAAGATTACCTTGAATTCTTACCCAGAGATTAGTACTGTATTTATGGGAATGTAAGATCAATTGCCCCAAACATTATATTAAAGGAGCTAGTGTTGAGGACCAGGAGCTGCTGCCGTCTGTGACACCAGCATCCCATATGGGCAGCAGTTCATGTCTGGCTGCTCCACTCCTTATTCAGCTTTAAAGGGCCTGGGAAAACCAGTGGAACATGGCCCAAGTGGCTGGGCCCCTGCCATCCATATTGGAGACCCAGATGAAGCTACTGGATCCTGGCTTCAGAAAATGACAACATCAGTAATGTAAAGTGATGGTGTTTGGCATAGGGTGCTGCTCAGGACCCTAAATCCCATGCTAGAGTGTCTGGGCTTGACTCTTAGCTCTGCTCCCAGTCCTAGCTTCCTTGGGAGGAAGCAAGTTGAGGGCTGAAGCAGTTGCTTCCCTGCCATCTACACAGTAGACCTGTATGGAATTCCGGGCTTCTGTTTTTACCCTGGCTCAGTACTGGCTGATGTGGGCATTTGGCCAGTGAATCAAAAGGTGGAAGGTCTCTCTGTCCCTCTATGCTTATCTCATTCTCTGTTTTTGCAAATCAAACATTTAAAAGTTTTTTTTTTTAAATTATGGGATAACTCTGTGACAAAGGGAATTGGTTTTTTTAGACAGACATGTAAATAGGAGAGCATTCAATACAACCATCCAGTCGGAAATCATATGCAATAATATTGTCTAACACTAAGCAGGTGGGAGACGTTTATTTGGAGGAATTTTAACACTTATACTCGGGCAGACTCTAAAATTTATATAATTTGCAATACAGATATGTTGAAAAATAATTTTAAGACAAAAATTATAACATTGAAAGCAGGTATCCACCTGTGTATCTTAGACACAAGGAAATGCAAGAAGCAGGTGGTAGAAATAATACTCATCAATACCTTCCAAGGTGTTTGTAAGACAGCATCCTTTTTACTATTTTTAATTTTCTTCCACTGTTTTAGTGACACAAAGTGCATGTTTATGAAGTACCATGTGATGTTTGAATGCATTTACACATTGTGTAACATTCAAATCAGGTTAAATACCCTTTTAATATTTTAATTTTTTTCTTGCTCTCATTATGTTGTCTTGAAAGTAATTGGTTCAGCTGAATTCAGTTGGCAGTGAAATATGAAACTATAGAGTTTTTGTCTGTTAAGGGCCAGAAGTTACATTATTACTACATGGCAGCTGTTGCTGGGCCCAGGATCCCAGGCTGGGGATTTTTCCATGCCTTTCTATAGCAGTTGCATTCTTGGAAATTTAATTTTGAGTCCTGTGACTTGTGAAAGTTCTCAATAATGTTTTCATGGTTTGAGTTCCTCCATCCATGATAGAGTTCAGAATTCCACATTTTATACTTGAAAATGACTTTTTAAAAAATTACTGATAAGTGGTAGGAAACACATCAAACATTTTTGGTAAGATGGGAATACATAACTATAGCAAAAAACCAAAACATCCAAGATCTGCTCAGAAAATGTACAGACTAATCTTTGCCCACATCAGCTAACACCTTTCCTTTTTGCTTAGAAAGACTTCTCAGTGAACAGCCTCCTCAGCACTTTCCATGCTGCCAGCTTATCATTCGTTTCAGTATCTATGTATAGTATGTGTCATATAGGGACCAGTGTGGTGGCATGTCAGGCTGATCCTCCGCCTGCAGTGTCAGCAGCCCATGTGGGGACTGGTTTGTGCTCCCACTGCTCCACTCATCCAACTCCCTGCTTATAGTCTTTAGGCTCCTGCACTCACATAGGAGAGCTGGAGGAAGTTCCTGGTTCCTGGTTTTGGATTGCTTCGGCTCTGGCCATTGTAGCCATTTGGGGAGTAAGCCAGTGGATGGAAAATCTGTCTCTCCTATCTCTAAGTCAGCCTTTCAAGTAAAAATAAATGAATCTTAAAAATTAAAAAGAATATGTGTCTCATGCTTAATGTACAACCTGACAACCATACAGATATCTGTCTTATAAACATACACTTTTGGAGGTGGCATACTGTTATTTTACTTTAGGATTTTTAATTGAAATAGTTTGATTACCTGGTGCAAGAGAGGAGATGCTAGGAAAGCTGTACAACACACAATATGGGTGTGTTTGCAGCTCCTTTCCTGGCACACCTGTTCTCTTTCCCCTGTATGTCCCTGAGGGAAAGCAAAGGGTCCTGAAGAATCTGCCCGAGAGGGCCAGGCCTGCAAGCAAGTGCTCACTCTCCTCTCTGAAGGCCCACTGCCTGTTTGTATAGCGGGTACCTCAAGATCTAACCACCTTGAGCCAGTGCCCAAGTTTTAAAAAGGACAAAAATGTAGGCATATGACTGACTGCAAACATAGGTATGTGGCACAAATTCCTTTGTAGTCATTTACAACTCAGAATTAGTTTGGCCACAATAGTGATTTATAGTAGTTTAGAGTTTTTTTCTTTCCATTTAATACTTATTTAATACTCCTTATGGCAGGAAGAGACATTTGCAAGGACAACTGACAGACTGTAATGTCAATTGTAATGAAATGAAAACTGAAGAGTCATTTATTTTGAACCACGTGGTACTTTAGAGAAAGCCACAATGAGAGATAGAGATTTCAGAGATCTTTTCTGTTTTTGAGCAGATTCACTCTTGCTACAGACCACGCCATCCGTGGGGTGATATGGAAACAGATGAATATTTTAAATTCACCTCAACACATCAGAAAGGTGCCAAAACAGAAACACATAAACTACAACTACAAATTTGTGCAGGGCATGACGGTGGCAGGAAAGAGGTGAGGGTTGAGAAATCATTGGACATTCTTCACCAGGACGGATGGACAGACACACACCTCACCACCCCCCACTCCCAGAACACAAGCAGGTTCCAGGTTACAGACGCACACACCCAGAACACAAGCAAGTTCGCACTGTAATCTGATTGTAAGCAGATGTCTGCACCTGCCACTTTGCTTCCTCTCTTCTACCCACCCCTCACTCCTCCTGGTCCCTCTGTCTTTTTCTCATAGCTGCCTTCCCTGTTCCCTGACACTTGAAAAGGGCACAAGGAAAATAGCCAGCAAAACTGGGAGAAGAACTCACCTGAAGTCCACTGGCAAATGTTACTATCCTTAAAAAGACCTCCCCTGTGGATTTCGTCACTAACAGCTGCCCTACTTGCTCCATCACCATCTCTTATTTCACTTTTCCCAAGGTACTTTATTCTGTCTGAAGTTCAGATTTATATTTTTCCCATTGTTGTCGTCTGTCACCCTCACTGATAGAAGGTCAGCCCCATGACAACAGGGGACCTGTCTGTCCTGTTTACCCCAGGAGCTCCAGTGCCTGGTAGAGTGGCTGTTCCTAGCAGGTGCTTAGTAAATAAAAGCTGACCAAATAAATACCCTACAATGTAGAAGACTTAGGAGGAAAAGGGGAGCCAATAAAAAGTACATAATTCAATATTTGCTATTTAAGAAGTTAATACAGGCAGTTAACACTGGGTCTGCCAATGAAATAGTAAGCGTTCCGTAAATGGTAGCCACTGAGTTTCTCAATATTCTAGTATTATAATCTCCAGGACTCAGTATTCTTTTTCAGCTCAACAAAAGGGTGAATACCTCTTATCTCACTCTGATCCCAGATAGATAAAATCCTATAGAAGCCCAGAACTGCCCCTCTCTGCACCGTGAGCCACAATCCCAATAGTTCTGGGCATTAGCAATGCAAGGTTAGTGCTACCTTCCACTGTCTTCCTTGGAGAATATTGGGTGAAGAATCCCTACAGGATTGTTCTCCGCTTTCTTTGTTCGCACTGTTTGCTTTGAAGACCTTAACACACCACTGAGAAATCAATAAGCAGAGCGGCTGTTCACCCTAGATGCGTCTCCTTCCCAGTCTCCTCTGGGAGGCTCGCCTCACTCCAATGCACGGATAAGTCTTGAAGTGCCCGGCTCCACCTGCAAATTATGGCCCTTGTAAGTAATCAAGGAACACCAAGCTCAGCTTGCTGTAGGTTTTCCATCCAGAGCATCA